GGGGGGGGGATTTGTGTGCGAACCGACAAAGCTCTCAGGCTTAAGTCAAATTAAATTTCCACTTTACTCTCTGAGCATTCCTTTAGTGATCCGTTTGCTGTATACCAATGTGATTTTGTTTCTCTGCCATATGATGTTATACAGGTGAAAAAACTTACCAGCTTATTTCAACCTTCTCATATTAATTCTCAATCAGTTCCTGCTCCTCTCATTCCACTGAGACCTTTAATACCAACAGCAGAAGCACCGCCACATTCAGATATATTAGCAAGAGGTCAAATAGAAACACTTGATCCTCTTTGTTTCACTGTGGAAGAGTATAGGATGTTTGGCCTTCGAAGACCTATAATAATAGCACCAACATCAATGCCAATTCCAGCTGAGGTTTCAGATCATTCCCAGGCAAATAGGGATACTTATGATCGATACGCTCCTCTTACGAAAGCTCCATATCTAAGCAAATTGGATGAAAGTGAGTATAAAAGGCCAGTAGCTGAAGAAGCCGCAACTCAACCAAATTACTATCATAGTTACTCATATGGTGAACTAAGGAATGAGGCTGAGGCCAGTAAATTGCATTCAACACACGCAGCAAATGCGCTTTCGGAATACAACAGGAGTCATCAGCAATCTCATGAAAGAGGAGATTATGGATCTTTGTCAGTTTCATCCCGGTACTCTTTTGGTGGTCCTTCATTCTGGTATCGATGAAAGTTGATGTTTTGATGTTAGATCTTGTTTTTTATATGGTGCACTTGTTGTATTAGATTAGACCGGTTTATGCCAAGCATCTCCTAATGGTTACCCTTGAAATTTCTTAATTATTATGTTTTGGGCTTGTATCAAGAGTGAATTTTAATGTGTCAACTGTGAACGTCTGATGATACTGTTGTTAGCTGCTCTGGAAAATTTAAAGGTCTAGAGAAAAATTATTGCAACTTATGATAAAGAATTACTAGCTATTAAACATACTATTGATTCCTTTAAAAAAAAAATATTTGGGCTTGTAGCAGGAGTGAATTTCAATGCGTCAGCTGTGAACGAGTGATGATACTGTTGTCAGTTGGCTGAATTTTATTTTAATTTTAATTTCTGCTCATCAAGCTGTGAACGAGTGATGATACTGTTGTCAGTTGGCTGAATTTTATTTTAATTTTAATTTCTGCTCATCATTTTTCTGTTAAATGAGGATCAAAAGGTTGTACAGAGAAACTGTCTGTGGTTTTTCCATGAAGGATTTTGGTGAATTTGTACTGCTGTTAATCTACATCCTTGATTTACTCTTAAAAAAACATACAGTTGGTTTTATCGCTTATTATCTTTTGACATTAGACATTGAGTTCAGAGATGAATGAAATAAAGGAGTTTATATAAGCCAATATGATGCTTGGAAGTAGTATTTATTATGGTGATTTATTCGTAAATTATTTTTTACTGTTTGAATTAACCAAACTCTGGGATTATGTGATTTATGAATGTTTGGTAGCATCTTACACTGTCATATAATGCAATATCACTCTGAACTTGTACACATTATCTTTGTACTCGACGTTTTGAAAAAAAAGAAAGAAAAAAAATCAACATGTTTACCTCAAACTTTGGTAATTGTCAACCATAAATTTCCCTCCCTAATTTAATTGCAAACAAAAATGCCTTCTCAATCACCAAAACAACAAAATATCTCCCTCCTCAAAAAAACTTCAACCTTGTTCAATTTGCTTCCTGCCACCATCCTATCTTCTCCTTTGCTACCCCCTCTCTCTCAATCCAACTCCAAACTCCACAACAACTACCCATCGGCCAACAACTTCGAGTACGCGTACCACCCTGTTCGACGAAATCCCAAGGCGAAAGATTACTACCCATCGGCCAACAACTTCGAGTACGCGTACCACCCTGTTCGACGAAATCCCAAGGCGAAAGATTACTGTGATCTGTGAATCTTTCTAGAGTGACTAGCTGATCATCCTACTACCCCGTCGGTCTCCATTATAAATTACTCGTCGAATTCTTTTCCGCCCTCTTTAGTTGATGAAATTTTGATTCTGTTTTCGATTCAGCAGCTCACCGGATTGCGAAGAAACGCAAACATCTGATTTGCCAAATGCTGATTCTAAGGTACATGATTTTGTTCATCTGATTCCACGTACTTCAGGTAACTCTGTGTGTCTACCAACGTAACTTCCGGCGCGCGACTCATTTCAGAATATAATCCTTTTAAAGCAAAGATAAAATCGTCGAGATACTGCAGGAATCATGCCGCTGATATTAGATTGTGTTCATTTTACCGCAAAAAGCTGATAAGAGTGCTAAATTAAATCTTGCTCTTTCAAAGACTTGAAACTTTCATCGTCCAAAGTCATCAGTCTTTCTACGTACGTAGGAGCTGACTCGATCAGCTTCTCTTCCCGCTGAAGATCGTCTGTTCAACCCGTTTCTTTTTCGCGTAGTAAACCTGCAACTTGCCGTCTAACCTTTTCAGCAGTAACCTTTCCCGTCTTCCTCCGCTCCCGCGACGCTGAACCAAAAAGGACCGCGGAAATCAATGCTATATGTCTTTACCCACACGTCGACCTTTGTTTTCCCTACGCATTCGACAGGTAACAGTCCGCTGATCTGATTCAGATAAAACTTCCATTCTCTGTCACGGGAATATTGCGAGGAGTATCTTGAGCCAGGTATCGGGAGAACTGACCATTCTTCTTTCTTGAGATCAAACCGAGCTATACCCTTACTGTTATCATACTCTGGACTGTGTACCCGCTGCACGCTGAAAGCTTGCGGCAGAATATGGATGGCTTCATCAACCACAACCATATTGTCATAATATCCACTAAAACGTGGGTTCCCAACGATCCTCCATCTCTCCGAGCCAAGTGTGAAGACTGTAGGATCGTTGGCCACCGTTTACTCTCCATTTCGGTATGATATTGTCCGTTTTGGGCCAAGCCCTCACGGTTTTGCTCTTGGGTTTCACCTCAAAAGCCCTCATACCAATTAGAGACTTGCCTATCCTTATAAACTCCAAGCTGTAGGATTGGCAAGAAATGCAGTTGATGGGGGCTCAGGAGCAGTTTGACAGACTGACGGTCGACCGCGGATGTTGCGGACGGTCCGACTCCGCGTGTTCAGCCTGGCACAGGGCCTCACTGTGTTAGGACTTTGCGTCGACCGTTGGCGGTCGACCGCGGTATTTCTCTGACGTTGGAGCCTAGTTCCTGGCAGTTGCGGGGGGCGCGTCGGACGTGACGGTCGACCGCACATGCATCTCCAGGCGCGGCTCGACCGCCAACACAGGCTCGACCGTCGAAGCGTTTTGGGCAGAAACTGGTTTTCAGACCCGTTTTGTTTGAGAGTTGTATAAATACCCATAACTCGTTTCTAGGGTTTGAGAGCAAGGGTTTTGAGCTGAATAGAGAGGGGTTTTGTTGGGCTTCTATTGTAGGAGCATTTGAAGAGATCAAGAGTGATTTGTAGAGGATTTTTGGTGAGATTTGTAACCCTAGTTGTATCTCCTTGATTTCTAATAGCGAATACCCCCCCTTTCCTTACCCCGTGGACGTAGGCATTCGCCGAACCACGTTAAAACTGGTGTATCTTGCTTGTGCTATTGATTTGGTGTGTTTGTTCATCTCTCTCGGCTATTTGGAATTGGATCTCGCCACTGGGGTCTCCCCAACAAGTGGTATCAGAGCTCTGTTTGCGTCGAAAATTGTTGTATTCATTGCGATATTCATTACAACTTCAATCGTTACAATGAAAACAAAGAAAGATTGTCTTTTTATAAGACTTTTACACAATGAAAACAAAAGTTTACAACTCTCGTCAAAACAAACGCAGAGATCGTTTATCGGTCTTCTGCTTGCGTGGGATCTTTGCCTGTGCCGGGGTTTATCCGTGGACCGCCTTAGATCTGGATCCGGTTGATAAAAAATTCGGCAGAGCTTCGTCTTCACCGAGGAAGTATTTGATTTGAAGCGCTGAGATCGACCAAGCGAAATCAGGGCTCTTCTCGAGATTAAGACCAAGCCTAATCTCAAGGGACGGACGGGAACGGGCGTCGGATCTCTCGAACTCTCCTTCTTTATGCCGAAGAACTCGCCAAGATCTGTCAACCCTCGCTGAAATTCGTGCTCCTTTGACTCCACAATCCGGCAGCACCTCCTCGTCTTGATAATCAATCGCCCCAGAAAATGGAGGCCTTTGGTTCATATTTATAGGCCTCAAAATGCGGTTATTTGGATAAGAACAAGGGATTTGGCTCTATCTTCAGTCAACAGCAGCCTAACAACGTTTAGGGATGATCTCAAGTCAGTTAAGAACCCCTAAAACCGATAAACCCTGCAAAAAACCAATTTAAAACTGTCAAAACGTGTTTTGGAACTTTAGACTGCGCAACAGGACAATCTGACCCGCGCTCGCGCGGGTCGGATCATTCCGTCCTGCGCTTAGCGCGGGTTCGCTGACTTTCTCCCTTTTTTTGGTTTCTTTCTTCCGGGACTTGTTCTTGTTGCGTATTCGTTCGATTTGTTGACTTGTATGCTTCGTCGCGAGACCGATCGTCGAACGCGCGTTGGTTAACATACGCGTGCTGATCGATGCGCGCGGGCTGATTGACGTGCGTGCGTTGACCGGCGCGCACGAGTTGGTTTGACGTACGCGCGTTGACCGATGCGCACGAGATGATTTGACGTACGCGCGCTGACCGGCGCGCACGAGTTGGTTGACGTGCACGCGTTTGATCGGCGCGCACGAGTTGGTTTGACGTGCACGTGTTTGACTGACGCGCACGCGTTGATTGACGTGCGCGCGTTGACCGGCGCACACGAGCTGATTGACGTGCGCGCGTTGACTGGTGCGCACGAGTTGATTGACGTGCACGCGTTTGACCGACGCGCACGAGTTGGTTTGACGAATCTTCTTGACTCGCCCATTCATTGCTTCGAGTTTCGTGCGGGCTCTCGTAGACAATTTTAGACGCCTACAAGCTCCAGGCAATGCTTGGGCTTTTTGGAGGAGTAGATCAGTTGGGAAGTTCATCGAGAGCTTCGGTTGGTGATAAAGGTGGGATTTTTATGGTAAAGTTTCTATCTTTTCAAGTTGGATCTATTTTTCTTGTTTGTTCCGCAATTGTTATTGGGTGCTTTGAGATATATAGCCGGGAAAGATAAAGGTAGGGAGGGTTCTTCTACTATGAAGATCGTCCAAAGTTTGAATGTCCATTCTATGAAGATAGATGTGGAGAAGTTCGATGGCACAATATTCGCGTCAAAAGTTGCTTTCTTCATTGTATAACTCATTACAACTTTGGTCATTACAATAAGATCAAAAGATTGGTCTTTTGATAAGACTCTTTACACAATGAAAATAAAAAGTTTACAACTCTATCAAACAAATACAAGGAGATCGTTTATCGGTCTTCTGCTCATGCGGGATCTTTGCCTGTGCCGGGGATTTTGATATCCGTGGACCGTCTTAGATCTGGATCCGATTGATAGAAAATTGGGCAGAGCTTCGCCTTCACCGAGGGAATATTTGATTTGAAGCACTGAGATCGACCAAGCGAAATCAGTACTCTTCTCGAGATTAAGACCAAACCTAATCTCAAGGAACGGTGGGATCGGGCTTCAGATCCTTCGAATAGCTCCCTCTTTATGCTGGAGTTCGCCAGGATTTCACTAACCCTCGCTGAAATTCGTGACTCTTGGCTCTGGAATTTGACAACACTTCCTCGTCTTGATAATAAATCGCCCCCCTGAAAGGAGGCCCTATGTTTGTATTTATAGGGCTCCGGATGCAGGTATTTGGATGAGAATGAGTGATTTGGCCTTATCTTCAGTCAATAACGGCCTAACCACATTTGTAGA